ACCAGGACCAGAGAGAGGACCAGGACCAGGACCAGGACCAGGACCAGGACAAGAGAGAGGAGCTCTGGGTCAGAACTAGAACCGAAGAGAGGACACTGGACCTCCTGTTTGGTTCTCGTTCAGGTCTGGAATCTGGACCTCTGGTTCGGGTCTGGTTGAGGTCTGGTTCTGGTCTGGTTCAGGTCTGGTTCAGTTCTGGTTCTGGTCTGGTTCAAGTCTGGTTCAGTTCTGGTTCTGAGGTGTTGTCTCTTTTTCTCTGCTGGCGTTTTAGCAGCAACATGCTAACAAAACCTGTAAGTTCCCTTCATTAAATCTGAAAATATGCTTCTACAAACACACATTTAATGACTCTAATTGATTTTAGATAACAGATACTGATAGAATCTACTTTTTAGTACACTCCCTGCTTAATTTTTCTTTATTCAGACAGATAATTAATTTACTGCTAACAGATTTAAATCAAACTTTAGCTAGCGTTAGCTGGTAGCTAGCTTAACAAGCTAGCAGTACATTAACTTTATATGTTTAACAAACTAAAGATTCTGTATTAAACTTAAAAAGAATACTTTTTTAGACTTTTAAATAGCTAATATGATGGACTTTTAAACTACTAATTGACACAATTTAGTAACAGTAGACATTTCTTTATAACTCTTAAACTGATTGTTTGGACGTCGTATTTTAGCTCATTTTGGGGTTTTGCTTTTTCACTTTTCTTTTGGTTTACAACCTTTTTAGTGTTAATTTTTTTGTAAAACTGAACAAAAAGTGAGTAAAAATGTCGTCTGAGAGCAGAAGTATTCATTTATCTCATTTGTTTGTTAAAATAAGTGAGTTTATGTCTTTATCGTGAGATTTTCAGCCTGTTTTCTGGAGATAAAAACATTCAGACGAGATTACTCTAATGCAAAGGAACATCAAAAAGGAGAAAAAAAAACTAATATTTAGTTGTTTCATCCCAAAAAAAGCCAAATCTCTGAGCAGGTTTTTACCAAAGAGAATACAGGACTGTCTCAGAAAATTATAATATTGTGATAAAGTTCTTTATTTTCTGCAATGCAATTAAAAAACATGAAATGTCATACATTCTGGATTCATTACAAATCAACTGAAATATAGCAAGCCTTTTATTGTTTTAATATCGCTGATTATGGCGTACAGCTTAAGAAACCCAAATATCCTATCTC